TATTTGTTGTGCGGTCCCCGGAAGCAGAGGCCGAGAGCTTTGCTTTCATGGCAATCTTCCGCAAGATCTGGTTCAAACCCAGTTGTCGTTTGCAACCGTTGAGCTGCAATTAAATGGGCGCTGATGTGGTATTAATCTCAAACCTTTTCAGGGTTTAAGGGTTTAGCGTGTACCGAACAAGGGCAGTGATGCAGTGAGCCATGTCGCACATCACCGTCATCTCGATCTCTCGATCAATTGAAGGCGATGGCTTGATGGCTTGTTCGTAACAACGTTCGAATCCTCTGGGTCCGTGCAGAGCTGCAGGGTTGTTTGTTGAGATGCCACGTTTCAGAAGGCGTAGCCAGGCCCCGTTGTCGGAGTTCGGATATCCGCGGCCAGGTAGAGAACCCTGTACAAACATCGTGGTACTTGGGACGCACAAAGTCTTAGAGCTTTGAAAAAGACGTGCCATGGAACTTTGTATGCAAAACCGCAACGCTGCTCGTCCGATCCGGCCGAGACAGGTCATCGGCCTTCGCCTTGCAAGAGAGCCCGGATGATGTGGTCGGCGTCGCTGCAGCGCAGGGTAGGTGCCGTGTGGGCCCTGTGATCTTTTCGCCTGCGGCTCCCGAGCAGGTGATGCTTTGAGCTCTGGGTCACTGCAGAGGTGGCACGCCCTGTGATCTTTTCTGCACCTCTAAGCAGCATCTCACAGGAGTTTGTCTAGTGTCTTCTAGGCGCCCCTCCTCGCACTGCAACTAGGGGCTTAGGTTTACAGTTTAGCGCTTTACGGCTTAAGTTTGGAGTTGATACTTTCAGCATCTTTCAGCTTTAAGCTCGAGGATTTACAATTTCGGTTGTGCTGAATTGCGAGTACATGGCCATCCAAACGAGAGCTCGAGAGGCTATGCCCTGTCAGCCCTGCACGCCAAGCGCCAAAGCCGACATGTAGGAACCGATCTGCGCCCTGGACAATAATTCTAAGACTCTTATAAGCATTACGCACGAAACACTAGACACCCTCCCTCCCTCCCTCCCTCCCTCTCTAAGTCTCTAAGTCTCTCTTGCTACATCCCACGCCATGCCCTCACATTAACTCTGAACCCGAAAAGCCTAAGATTGAAGCCTGAGCGCTGAAAAGTTCGTGGACAGGGAGCGCGTACGGGCTCAGGATGGTCCGGGGGGCACAATCAAGATCTGGGGCTGAGTGCTCGCCGCCAGCCTTATAAGCTGGAAGGCTTCATGCGGCTTCATGGCTTAATTAAGGTTTGGGGTCAAGCGGGTTGAGGGTGTAATTTAGTAATCATACTCCAAAGCCTGAGCCCAAGATGCCGAACCCGAACCCTCTTCTCGCCAAAGCCTCATCTCATGGTGCCAGGTGCTCTTCGACCTCGTGGCCGGGGCGCGAAGCCAGGAGGAGGCCTCGGCTGCTGAATGCCAGCGCTTACAGTTCGAAAGGGGGACCCAGTTTCGACGAGCTGCAAGCTTGCAGGCTCGCTTCCATTGCCACGTTTTTGGGGCACCTCAGCATTTCTTTTGCCTTTCGGGAAGCTTTCACGGAATTCCTTGCGCCGGGGCATGGTCCGCGAGCCGTGCGCCGGAGACAGCGTCTCTGAATTGAGGCTCTTTGGGGAGAGCGCAGTCCGGTCCGAAATTTTGCAGAACACTCCATCTTCGACGACAGGGTCCCAGAAAGAGCTTGGGCGGTTCAACTGAAAAGGAGCAAGCGTGGGGGGCCCCCTGAAAACAGTACCCGACAAGCCCGCAGAGTTGCACTGCCGAGCATTGCAGGGCCGCCACTCGCACGCCGACCCCCGCACAACGGTCGCCGTTGCAGCGCTTGGCGACATCGCAAGGACCCCAGGTGGCACATGGCCGCTTGGGTACCTCGTAATTCCCTTTCGGGCGCCTCCAGGTCAGAATTTATAAAGGCAAGGCCGTGCAGGAGAGAGGTTTGCAGTGTGATCCTCGCGCTCCCTGTGGTCTCGCATGTGTTTCTGAGAAGCCGGTGGTAGCATGAAGTTGCGATGAGCTTTGTTTGACCGTGTTTCTGTTCGTTTCAGCATTGCTTCCATGCTATATACAAGTTGTGCTGTTTTTGCACTAGTATGTGGGGCAGATGCGTCGTGCTTTCCTTCTGAGCTTCGAGGTCATCGGTGCACTTGCGTCGACTGGCAGTGGGCCAGTGAGGCGGCGTCGAAGCGGGCATCCGGTTCACTCCGTGGATGCTTGCTTTGAGGCCCATGCTCTTCATCGACGTCAGTGTGGGTCCTGCTGTCGAACATCCCCCAAGAGCTGATGACTGGAAGCTCATGGAAGGGATGATGACCCAAGCAAGGAGAGCTCGCTTGCAGCAAAACTGGTCCGTATCGGCTGCTTATACTGGTACCATGCCTTTCAGGCCTTTCATGCTGAGTGCAGGTGCAGGTTGCATGGATGCAGAGAGGGACCGATGTGTGACCCAGGTCGTGGACTCTTCCATGCGCTCCTTTGCGTCGTATGCTTTGTGGAGGCTCAGATCGCCGCCGGAGCTTCTGGGACTGCAGATGTGTGCAGAGCAAGGCCATGCGACGCCAGACGAGACACTTCCGAGGTGCTGGGGAGCGCGCTGCACAGCCAGCGGTGCTTCAGTCTGTTGGCCTCTTGGCCGCTTCCCCTTCGAGGAGGTTTCAAAGGTTCTGTTTCATTCTCTGTCGGTTTTATGGATCCCTCCCTAGGCCATCCTAGGCCCATCCTAGGCCCTAGGTCCTTTTTGGTCCCTCCCTCGCTGCCAAGGCCAAGCTTCTGGTTTTCGCGTGGCCGGCAGCAGCTGCCGTTGGCGCCCCTTGGGCTCCAAGAGAGGCGTCTCGTTTCTCCATGGATCTCCAGAGCTTCGGTCTCAGGCCGTGGATGCCGTGGCCATGCACCTGCACATAGAAGGCTCCACTTCGGCTGCTGAAGGCTCTTCAGCCCCTCCCATTCGTAGCCCGGGCAGCGCGAGGCCAAAGAGCCTTCGGCTTCACCAAAGTGCTTGAAGTCGCCGCAGCCTCGTGACTCCTGGAACTTGCCCTTAACGAAGCCGCAGTCCTGGTCCCAGGTGCTGTTCACGAACTTTCTGCTCACGCCGGTGGCCTAAATTAGCCGTGGATGTTGCATTCGGCCGCATTGGGTTCCCTCCTCCGAGGCTGTTAATGTACCTCACGTCCTTGGTGGCAGTCATGCGCACACCGTCACCGAGCGCCGTCGTGAGGACACCCTGATGAGAGAAGTGCAGGCTGCTAGGAATCACTATAGCCAGCCCTGACAGGCGCGCATCCTTGCGTGCCTTGGCCTATCCGTGTGGCTTCCTGATCACGGCTGCGCCCCTAGAATCTGGCAGACACGCGAGAGATCGGGGCGGTTTTGTGGCGAAAGGCGTTTCCGGACTGGCTGCTCTACATCCGCGTCATCCCGGAGAACTTGTGGCCCCGGCCCCGGGCTCGCACAGTTGCCTAGTCCTCGCCATCAGCGGCGCCGCGGCGCCAGGAGCGGCCGGCTTGCGAGCTTGGCCATGTACAGCAACGGCGCGGGACCCAGTGCAGTACTCGTGCTGCAGTGTCGAATGTGACAGGTTGGGTGAATGCAGCCGTCTACGGCTGCCAGAATCGTCATCTATGCCGCTCGGATGGCCTCGGAGGAGCCACCGGATTCTCACCTGTGACTGTGATCTAAGCCGAGGCCCAGGGACCAGGCGCACAACCTCCGGGCTGACTCTGCAGGGGCGGCGTGGTTTTGGCCTTGGATCGGTGCATCAGGCAGTCTACAGTCTACTGCTAAAGCTTCGACTTTTCCTCCACTAAGTTCTCTTCTGCAGGCTCTTCGCCTTCTTCTCCCTTGCCTTTGCTGCCTTCCTTCCATGTCGGTTTCCGCGTGGGAGACTCCCGCTCCTTCTTACAAACGGCCTGTGCCTCAGTTCAAGTCTGAGCTGATGTCTTGGCATCCTGCGTTTGCGTCTTTCTTGGTTGAGGTCTCTTCTGAAGATCCTTTTCCGGAGGCTGGGGGGAGGGAGACCCTGTGCATGTGCTCCAGGCCTGATGCCTGATGTCCCGTTACCCATTGAGGAGGAGACTGGAAGCGTGGCAAAGGTGCCCGGCGCCGGGGAGTCTGCTGAGGCGAGGTTCGGGTTCTTATATGTCCTGGCGTTTGCAGCCACTGGCAGGCTTCGCGTGAACCGGCGATGCATGCGATGCCTGCATGCCCCAGAGCAGCATGACCCGACGGCTCAACGGCTGCTCCGCTCGCCTTCGAAAGAATCCAAGCGGCTGTTGCTTTCACTGCGCAGCAGTCATGAATGCAGGGCAGTCTTTCACAACCTCACGCCAGAATCGCAGCAAGTGCCAACATCCAGCATAAGTAATGGTTCGGATCAGGCGCGCTTTGGGCCCAGTTACAAACTAGCTCGTCCAAGTTCTCCAAATGAGCTGCGTTTTCTGTACATAGCTCGTGACACGAGGGTTAACGAGTCTCAGCATATCTTGTTCTCAATCTCTGCAAATGCCATGACATCACTAGACGAAGAACGTCATCACTGTCAGTTCATGAGCTAGGCGGCTATGCCAAGAGCGCATGCAAGAAGCATCAGCCGTGGACCCCGATCCAGTCTGCCCGAAGACATGGCATCCCGGGCCTGAATGCCTCAGCGCCTCAACCCAAGTTTTGCTGCGCCCTCCCATACACGCACTGAAAGAGTGATAGTTACCCGACAGCAGAAGCAAAGAAGCGATGCCCGTATCTGGAAAGGGCCGTGCAACTTCAAAAAATACCGTTTGTGTGAAGTTCGTGCCACAAACTCTCTTGATGCCCGGCACACGCTGGCATTTCACCTCAAGGGTGGGACATACTCATGAGCAAGAGCAGTGCGCTGCGCGTGAAAAGGACAGCACCGTCCTTTGTTGTTTTTCCTAAGAAGGCCCAGGACTTCGCGAGCCTAGAGGCCCAGTGATCTTCAAGTTGGTAGCGGAGCGGGCGACGACCCGTCTCCAGGGAACCTCCTCGCTACCATGGGCGGACCAGGCGGCCATCAAGGAGGACGAGGAAAAGGCGATGGCGGCGGCGGGACTGCGGCCGCTTCTGCCAATCCTGACGTCGTTCGGGATAACTACATCCCGATCTTCGATGGCCAGCCGAGCTCCTACAAGGAGTACCGCAAGAGGGTGAACCTGTACTTCAAGAAGATGTCCCTCGCGAACAAGAAGGCCGAGGCGACCATCAACTTGCTGACCTCCTTGGCCGGCCCAGTTTGGAAACAGGTGGAGCACCTTGCGGACACCGCCCCCGACGACGAGAACGGCTTCACCTTGGTGCTGCAGGAGCTGGACCGCGTGTACCAGTACGACAGCCGGGTTGAGATGCCAAAGGCCTTCGAGCGCTTCTTCTACGGAGTCAGCCGGCCAAGTGGCCAGACCCTGATCCAGTACTGCTCGCAGCATCGTGAAGCCGCCCGCGAGTTGGAAAGACATGATGTGAAGCTGCCGGACCCTGTCGGCGGATGGCTGCTCCTGAGAAGAGCGGCTCTGACCGCTGAGCAGAGGCAGCTGGTGATGAGCCAGGTGGACAACAAGAAGCTCAGCGTGACCACCGTGGAGCAGGCTCTCTTCTACTTGTTCGGACAGGACTACAAGAGCTCCACGGCCCGACACGACGCCAGCCGCCCTTCCGGGAGAGGACGACCGTATGTGGCCAACCGCTGGTCCGGCCACCGCGGGTACGGAGCGGCATACGCCGCTGAGGACGACGAGGGCTTTGCGGACGGCTACGACGGCGAGTGCTACGAGGACACCGCGGACCCCGTGTACTACGAGGAGGAGCCGGACGCCCAGTACGACGAGGAGGATTGGGAGCCCAATGACGGGGACTATCAGGAGGCGACGTATCACCTCGATGAGGACGAGGACGAATACGTCGAGGAGGCCTACGCCGCCTACTTGGATGCCCGGCGGCACCTGGCCGAAGTGAAGGCAGGCCGCGGCTACTACCCTGTGGTGGCCGTAGTGGACAATGGTGCCCAACTCCCGGTTGCTGCCCATCCTGGAGGAAAAGGCAAGACGAAAGGAAAGCCGAAGGGCAAGGGCAGTGTGAAGGGGAAGGCCACCAAGGGTAAGCCTCAGATTCCCCCGGCCAAAGGATTGGCCCGGGCTGCTGCCACCAAGTGCCTGCGATGCGGCCAGCTGGGCCACTGGGCGGCGAATTGCCCGAGACCACCTCACAGGCCGCGCCGACCCCACCTGGGTCCCCGAACAAGCGCCAGAAGCCGGAACAAGCTATGATGGCCATGGGATCCGTGAGCGAGCTCTCCCCGGCACGTTTCGGGCAGTGCGTTTGTATGCAAGATGGGGGAGCCTCCTCGATGGTTGGTGGCCACGACTACGTCATGGAGATCCTCACGGCTCTGGTCCAACGAGGTGTCGATCCAGACACCTTTGCGTTCTCGCAGGCCAACAAGAGTTTCCTGTTTGGCGGAGACAACAGATGCCTATCCGAGTGGAGTGTGCACCTCCCTGTGTGGATTGGCGGAACGAAGGGCCGCATCCAGTGCTACCTGGTTGTGGGGACCATGCCCATCCTGATGGGGAGGCCGCTCCTCAAGGCCCTACGGGTGAAAGTCGACTACGACACCGACCAGGTCTCCATCATGGGTGAGCCCTGAAGGGCCCGAAGGGCGAGCACCTCCTGTCCCTCGAGGACGGCCTCAACGAGGACACGCTGGGAACCAGCTACATCTTCGACTACATCACTGATGACTGCGTCGAGGACTTCCTCGCAGACGGACCCCTGCACAGCATCGCGGAGTACCTCCAGCACACAGGTCGACCTGGCCCCGTCTTCACCGTGGAAGAAGTGATGCTGGAGGAGGATGAAGCGACCCTCAACTCCCTCGAGGACAATGCCCGCAACCTGGCAGAGGCTAAGGGACTGGCCCCTGTGGTGGAATCACCACTCCCGCCGTCGATGTGGAAGAGCTTTACATACGGAATCAACAGGGCAAAGAATGAGTTGGACCGCCACCTGGAGAATGCCTACAAGGTGGCCGACTCCGACGAGGCCCTCTTCTGGGAAGTTTACAGTGGCTCCGGCAACCTCTCTGCTGCCATGCGCGACCTCGGCTTCAAGACCCGCTCCTTCGACCTGCCGGAGTGGAACTTTGAGGACGCCAGCCACCGCCGTGCCTTCTTCGAGCTGATGGACCACGAGATGCCGCGCGTCATGTGGCTGGCCCCGCCGTGTACCAAGTGGTCGCCCCTCCAGAACTTCACGAGCCACAGCCCGGAAGCACTGGAAGTTCTCCATGCCACTCGCGACTACCGCCACCACACGCACCTCAAGTTTGTGCGACGTGCGTTTCTTCGCATGGTAACCATGGGCATTGCGGTCATCGAGCACCCTCGTGGGTCTAAGGCTTGGAGTACGCCAGCCTTTCACGACTTGGGCATGACCGTGATTGTGGACCAATGTGCCCTCGGCGCTGTTCTCCCGAACAGGCAGGGAGAGATGATGCCGATCCAGAAGACCACCCGACTGGCGGTCAACCATGGATTGCTGGCAGAGACCCTGGGCGCCTACCGGTGTGATGGTGCCCACCAGCACCAGACCGTTATGGAACCTGCTCGATGATTGGGTCCAGGGCCAAAGCCGCGGCGGAATACCAGTCGATGATGTGTGCGCTGATTGCGGAGGCCCTCCAGGGTGCCTACTACGCCCACTTCGTCTACGGCAACTCGACCACGGAAGAGGCCATGCCCGCCTCTGACGTCGACATGGAGGAGTATGAACCCTCTGATGCGCCACCTCCTGACGAGACGACCCCGGAAGCACCGTTCGACGAGCTGGACCTGCCGACCAACGCGGACATGGAGGCAGAGCAGGCCTTCGGCAGGAACGACCACCCCGTGCCGGACAATGCCCCGCAAAGGACCGGCGAACATGACGATGCACCACCACCACCTCCTGTGCCGACGTCGAACCGGCTTACCGGGTGCCTTCGCAAACTGGAATGCAAGACCCCAGCCGAAGCTCAGCGCATTGTGGCCCGACTTCATCGGAACCTAGGTCATCCGAGCAATCGAGATCCCAAGCGGCTCCTGGCGCAAAGCGGTGCCACCAGGCTGGTCACGGAGACAGCGGAGGAGTACCAGTGCCCTACATGCCGGAAGCTCGCGCTCCCGGTCCAGGTCCCGAAGACGACTCTCCGTACCACATACCGGTTCAACGAACGCCTCCTGTCGGACACCATCTTGGCTGCAGATCCTGGACAAGACCACCCCAGTCCTCACCATGATGGACGCTGCCACGCGGTATGTGGCTGCTCGGGTGCTCCGAAGGGAGACGTCTGCTGAGTTCTTGCAAGCTCTGGAAAGAGGATGGATACGCACCTTCGGGCCGCCCACCAACCTCTTTGTGGACAGCCTGGGGGAGCGACGAGGTGATGCGGTACACCACCGACCACGGGAGCGCATGAACGTCTGGCCCAGTTGGAGCGACGACACCAGGTGCTACGTCGCGCTGTGGAGCTCTACTTGGAGGACCACCCCGCAACTGGAACGGAAAGCTTGATCGAGGCCCTCTCCTTCGTGGTTCCCCAGTCCCCAGTTGAACCAAACTCTGTCGGTAGGAGGTTTCAGCCCCACACAATGGGTGCTCGGCTACCAGCCCTCCATCTTCGGGAGCCTCCTCGACTCGAACGTCAACTACAGCCATCTCGACCCCACGGAAGCCTTCCAGCACAAGATGGAGTGTCGAGTGCGGGCCGCCACCGCGGTGGTCAAGGCGGACAATGATCTACGCCTACGACGAGCTCTACTACGACAGCATCGGGGTGATCCCCCGCGCCTGCTGGTTGGTCAGAAGTGCTTCTACTGGCGTGAAGCCGCTGGCTCTGGCCCACGCATTCGATGGAAGGGCCCAGCCACCGTTGTCCTGACCGAGTCTCAGAAGGGATCGGGACAGCCGCCCAACGTCTACTGGCTGGTCCATGGCACTGCGCTGATACGTGCAACCCCGGAACATGTGCGACCAGACCTTGAGTCGGACACCATTGCCGCGGACGCCCCGGCCGTGCACTTACTTGTCAGGAAGGTCCAGAACCGCGGCGCTACCGTCTACATCGACCTCCTCAAGACCAACCGCAAGCGCCGCCGCGAAGACTTGGCGCATTCGGATGATGAGGCCATGGATGATGATGACGACGACGGACAACCACCGCCACAGCCGCCTGCGGGCCCCACCTCATCGCTATGGTCTTGCCTGTGCGCCTCGGGTTCTAAAACCATTTCAGGGGGTTTAGCTCTGAAAGCACTTTTTCGTCGTTTCTGAATTCAAAGTTCGGTCGACCCCCAAAGTGCCAATTTCGGAGGGCTGCGATCGACCTTTGGGTTTGAAAAAAAAATTCTGCTCAGTTCGGATCCACTTGGCTGTTGCAACACCAGAACTCGTTGGTGACTACAATTTAATGGTGGGGCTGGGGGGGTGTCACTATTACATGCTACTTTAATTTTTTTTCGGCTGGTTCTAACGTAGAATTAAGACGACAATGCAAGACGACCTTAAAAGGTGTTTTCGCTGCTTTTTATCAAGCGAACAAGCTAGAGTTTCACCCAATGAATGCTGTGATCGAAATCCCAAGCGACTTGTGCAGCGGCCGGGCTGGGCAGGGCGTTTTAGCTGGAAAAGCACAGCTGCCCAAATGGCTTTTGCTGTATACGGGCGACGAAGTCCCCGCGGGGGGAGATGCCAGGCGGCCGGCAGGAGCCGAGATCCGGATGGCGTGCAAAATTAGTGCTGTGCAGAAATATCTGCCGGGTCGCATGCACACGGGCCTCCTGACTCAGGAGGTAGAGGCTTGGAACGAGCTGAAGTTCAGCGTGCCGAGCCGGTCGAGCGGCTATGCCTCATCCACCGCCCACGAGTGTAAATTTTGTGAATGGGTAGTGGAGAAACAGTTCACATTCAGCCAGCCCATTGCGATGACTCGCTTGCAGTTTCCGGGCAAGCAGCTCCAGAGGGTCTGTACAGCAACTCCGGAGATTGTTCAAACATGCAAGCAGTCAGGTGGCCGCTGCAGCGGCACTTTGAACAGAAATGCTGCAGGCCCAGGTGCAGCAGGTGCGGCGGCGGCAGCTGATGGAGGCCGTCTTGTGGATGCATCTTTTGATAGGCCATGGCTTATCCGAGTGCCTCGAAGTTTGCATTTCTTGTCGGAGAATCCTGATGGTGATGCAAACAGAAGTTTCTGCACACCCGTCTCTGTGGCGAAATCCTTGCACTTGCCAGTGGGGGAGCCACCAAATGCTCTGGCTGTGCAGGTTCAGCCTGTGAAGGATAAGCTTAGCCCATCGCAACAGCTGAGTTTGCTCCGCATGAACTTTTCGTTGCAATTTGCTGCAGATATGAGAACGGTGCTATCATGTGCCGTTCAGTTCTTGAACCCTTTTCTGGGGTCAGTGGACGAGGGTATGCTTCAGCGAGCTTTGGGCAGCCTCCCCCACTTTGCGACAGTGCGAAAGTGGATGCTCAAGCTGGATTTGCTGAGCATGGATTTTCGAAGAAGGCTCATGCGTAGCGAAGTTGCAGGGGACCAGGTGCGAGTGGCTCGTTACCTGTCGATGGATGCCTCGCCCCAAGCAGGTTACGAATATTTGGCAACCACAGAGGAGACAATTCGAAGATGTGTCCCTGTGCAGGCTTCTGCGTGCCCTTGGAAGGGTTTCACCCATGAGTTCAGGACTATGGTGATCACGACTTTAGGTCGAGGCGAGACACGTGCCTTTCTCAAGGCTTGCCGCCTGCGGCATGCAATCATACTTGAGAACGGTCCTGACTACGAGGACACATATCGTGCCCAGGTCAAAGGCTGGGTTTCGGATCAAGGGACGGAAAGAAAGGTACCCCAGATGCCTGTGTCAGGAGATCCTGCAGAGCTGCAGGCTTTGGCAGCACTTGTTGCTGCTGAAGGCGACCCGGATGTTGAGCATCTGGTGCGGGGCACCTCAAAAGCATTGCTCTGGAACAGCTTTAGGCATTTGGGCTTGATGCACGTCATGTTTAATTCCTTGGAGGAGTCATGCAAAGGGTGTCCTCGCTGGGATTCCTTCGAGAAACAGTTGTCTGCCATCTCCAAACTGTTGCGTGACAGATCTTTCAGGGACATTGTGGTGCATCGGATGATGGCTACGGCCACAGCACAGGAGAAGAGCACTGTGCAGGCATATCACGGGGAGCTTTTGTCTTGGAGATGGGAGTCTCTTTACGAAACCTTGAAACATTATGTGCATGTACGTCCAATTCTGATGAATTACTGGGACCGGGAGTTGCTGAGTTCCGAAGCCCAACTCTGCGATGCTGTGGGGGAGGCCTTGACGGATCCCTTTCACTCAGCGTATGCAGAGTGGGCATTCATGTTTTCGGGTTTTGTTCAGCGATGGTCTCGCTGGATGGAAGGGTGCTTCTGCCATGAGAGTGAACTGAAGGAAGCAAAAACCCGGAAAGCCAGGGAAGCTATTTCATGTTGCTGGAAGGGAAAGCGAACAGCAGTGCTTGCAGCGGGCTATGGAGAGACCATCCTTGCTGAGGCCAGGGCATGCACCAGTCCCAGGTATGCTGAGGCAGTCTTGAGGTTGCCGCGGGAAGTGGCAGCCATGGCTTTCATGGACCAGCAGGCCCGGGAGAAGTGGGCGACCGTGTTCGAGTCCAAAACCGTTTACTTTCAGCAGTTGCCCTTCCGGCTTGCAGGCGCTTATGCTCACTTTTGCATGCCTGAGAGGTATACACTTGAGGGAAGCAAAAAGATAGTCGCGGAGTGTTTCCGGGAGTATGACAGGTTGTGTGCTGTGGGCCGTGTTGATGCTTTGCTGCACGGCATTTTCCAGAGGCAAGGTGCAGCCGCGACAGGTGTGGCAGAGCAGCTGTGGGCTTTTGCGAATTCACCAAGCGGACCACACGGTCGACAGCTGGAGGATTTCCCTTTGGCGTGGGCAGAAATTCAGGAACGAGCCTTTTGCTCTTGTGTGGAGCGAGCCACAGAGAAGCAACATGTCCTGATCAAAATCGGAGCCCGGAGAACACTTCGCTTCTCTGGGCCGGCCATGGCATGTGTCCGGGCACGGAGGAGGCAGCATGAGGCATTCATGGATGATGGAGTAGGTCGCGTGTTTTTGCTCGAGAACTGGCCAAAACAAAGTCTGGATGTCGAGCTTTTGTCACATGTGCTTCCACGTTCATCGTGCTGGCAGAAGACCTTTGCGTACAGACTGTCTCGTGTGTACGGGTACAATGAGGCGGACCACTTCATGGAGACAGGGGAGACGGAGGCCAGTGCTGAAGCGTTGGGAGATGCCACCGACAAGGCACTGAAATCAGCCGCAGCCCTGGTGAATGGAGAGGTCAAGCTCACTGCCCAAGGCCTCATGATCGTGGACTTTTTGAAAAGCCAGCTGCAGACAGGCTGTGTCTTTAGCGTTCCCGAGGCGCTCTTTGACACCTTGCAAGCCAAATCTGTGCCAGATGAGAGGCAGGACGAGGAAGATGCGGGGAAGCACACACTTCTGGACATGGCACAGGCTTTGATTCCGAAGGATGTGGTAGCTAGGAAGGCCGAAGACCATGTTTACAGCTATGTCGTGGATGCACGGCCCGAAAGGCGGCATCAGCAGCTAGGTGTCGGCAGTGTTAAGAACAGACATGTCCTTCAGTGCATCAGGTTTTTGCAGGTCAGCCTTGAAGACCTCGAACAGCCCCGTGTTTCGTACACCAGTGTCCGGAAACACGATCTGGATCTGAGTGCTGTGGCTACTCAGGCAGGTCTCGAGATGATGTCTTCGGCCTGTGTCGTTTGGCTGCCTCAATGTACATCATTGCAGGTCAAGCTACAGGCCGAGCTGTTAGACAGCTCCACAGGTGTGCAAGCAGCACCATTGCGACTGCCTGCTGTTGTCTCAGACGAGGACATGCTTTGCGACTTGGCCGAGGAAGACAGGGAGCGGCAGGAACTGGAGCTTGTAGTTCCTGAAAACAAAGGGGTTGACGTTTCTGCGACCATGGTGATGTCAGATCTTGAGCAAGCCTTGGTAGACACCTTGTTCCAACGAAGAGCGGTAGCAGATAATTTTGTTCCGGCATTAGGTCTTCCCTATTTTGGTATTGCGGCAGCACAATCGCTTTCAGAGAAAGGGATCCTGCAAGTCAGGGAGGACGATTTCGGAGAGTTGCAACTGTCACTGACGGAGAAGATGCAAGTCAGAGGTGTTGTCACTTTGACGGATCCAGTGTCCTTGGCTGACCACGAGCCACAGATGCAGAGCTCAGCTGGTAGAAACAAGCTCTCTTGGCTTAAACTGCTGCTGATGCAGGACTGGAAGCCTGGCCAGCGTAGGAAAAAAACGTTTGAGTGGCGGCACAAAGATGAGGCTCGAGAGCTGCCAGGCAACATGTTGAGCAGACCCGAGTTTCACTTCAGAGCTCTTGCTTTTGAAGCAACAATCTTCGAGAAGCCCGGGAACCTGAGCAAAATTTCGCATTGTGGAAGCAGTGCGTATTACGAACTTCTGTTGACAAAGGAAGATTTGACGGGGATTGGGGAGTGGACACTGGAACAGACGATGAAGTTCGCTTGGCCCCGCAAGAGAAAGCAGGGCAGCGAGCCAAAGTCCCGTGTCGCCCGCCCCAGAGCATTGGAGCCGCCCATGCAATTGCAAATCGAGATGCCGGGTGAGAAGCCCGTGCAATCCCGAGTGCCTGGGCTTGAAGGGCTTACGGTTTATTTCGACAACTTTACACATCAGTCTGGGCGTCGTCGGGCTTTCATTGCCTGTGGGTGTGCTGCCCACAAAGGACAATGTCGTCGCTATGTTTTCGTGACTGATTACCCTAGTATCCAAGATTGTGTTGCTTGGTTGTTGACCTGGGCCTCTGCGGCACAGCGGTTTCGCACGACTGCGGAGCATGTCGGCCACAATCCCACTTCTGAAGCTGTTCGTAGCATGAAGCAGCGGCAGTCTCTGGGACTGTAGAGTTCGTGGAAGTCGGACATTGGTGCATTTGTCGGAAACAAACGTACACTCATGACATGTTTGTGCACAAAGCAAAGCCCTACACTCATGACATGTTCCAGTGCGGCTGCATTGTTGTCCAGGTGAGCGAGTTGATTATTTCAAGTGTATTCACTTTCTATTTTACTGCATGCACCTTGCGTCCGTAGCTGTTTGGCTCCTTCGCCGGAGGCCGGGCCGGGGGCTTGACGGGCTTGAAGGCCCGGGGCGGCGTTGCAGGCAGGTTGGGGTTTGCAAGGTTAAGGTTCTCGTTTTGTTTGAAGGGTTTATGGGTTTGGGGTTTTGTTAAAGCAGCTGCTTCATCCTCGGCAGGCGGTGGGTCGCTAGCCACTTGCAGTCAGTCTCAGCAAGAGTCTGACTATGCGGTGGCTGGGGCTTGCTAGCACCGAGGATCGCAGCTGTGTAAAGGCTTTGATACAGCAGTTGTTCCATCCTCGGCAGGCGGCGGGTCGCTAGCCACTTGCAGTCAGTCTCAGCAAGAGTCTGACTATGCGGTGGCTGGGGCTTGCTAGCACCGAGGATCGCAGCTGTGTCAAGGCTTTGATACAGCAGTTGTTCCATCCTCGGCAGGCGGTGGGTCGTTAGCCACTTGCAGTCAGTCTCAGCAAGAGTCTGACCATGTGGTGGCTGGGGCTTGCTAGCACCGAGGATCGCAGCTGTGTGTCAGCAGGGTCATGTGTTTCTGTTTCTAGGTTTGCGAGCTTCCTTGAGTTCCCTGCCAGGTGCCGGATGCCGGAGCCTCCAGCTCCAAGCCCAATGGGTGGTGCCCCAGCACAAAAAGTCTCCGATTCCGAAGAATCGGAGTCGGAGGCAAAGAAGGACTCGCCGTCGCAAAAGTCCGAGCCGGACTTTGGCGGGACAGAGCCAGCGGAGGCAGCAGCACATGCAGCTGCAGAGAGGACAGAACAGCTGAAAGAAAAGCTGGCTGATCGGCAGCTGGAGGCCAGCCGTGAAGAAGAAAGGGAGGCCGAGCCCCCTGCGGCCCGTGTGCACAGGGGTAGGTCCCGTGAGAAGAAGGAGAAGCCACACAAAGATAAAAAAGACAAGAAGGATAAGAAAGAGAAGAAGGAGACAAGATCTGAAAAAGAAAAAAAGCAGGGCCGGGAAATGCCGGCTCCCGGCAAGGGCCGCCGCACCCGAAGCGAGCCGGAGCTGCTCAGGGGTGCGGAAAGGGGCGGCCGGGGCCGGGACCGGGCACCGCCGCACCCGGAGCGATCCCGGTGGCAGCCGGGTGAACCCCACACAGGAGACGGTGTGGGGGCGCTTCGGGGAGATACCACAGTTTAAGGTGGTGGATTTGGTGGAGGATGAGGCGGGCTACGTGCGATGTCCGATATGTTGGTTACGAAAGCCCAAGAGCACCCTTCACTTGCACTTGCAAAATAGCAGCAAGTGCTTGGAGTGGGCTGCGAAAGCAGCAGGCATGGTGCTAGCGAAGCCGCACACGTGCAAGTGGTGCATGGCCCACGACCGCGACCAGCACGAATGGTCCTGCCCGAAGCAGAAGCTGCTCCGAGCCTGGAAGTGTAAGTGGTGCTCCCAGGAGTTCAAAGCCCTGCAGGACCGGGACAAGCACCAATGGTCCTGCCACAAGCAGCCGCCACCGGAGCCATCCTCAGGCCGAGGCCAGGGCCAGGGCGGCCGCCAGGGCGGCCAGGGTGCCAGGGCCAGTGGCAGTACTGGCCCGGGCCCGACTGGCGAGAAGATGAAGCCGCGGAGGAAGGCACAGCAGATGGAGGAGCAGAAGGCCAGGGGCCAGAAGCAAGCTGAAGAAGTGAGCTCCTCCGACAACTCCGGCTCCAGCTCCCAACCCGGGTCCGGGTCGTCGGAGAGCTCGTACTACTCCGACGAGTCGGCGGAATCCCCAAACCGCCCGACCCGCCCCACCACGGAGAAGATGCCAAAGGCAGCCGGGGCAGCGAAGGACAACAATCGGGAAAGATGGAAGAAAACGAAAAGGAGCCCCAGCCGCGGGACGGACCGAAGGGTGAAGCACCGGGGCGGGGGCGGCGACCGGAAGGACCGGAAGACGGGCATCGATCTCAAGCCCAAGGCGCCCAAGGTGAAGCTTCGGTCGCGATCCCGCAGCCGCAGGGAGGCCAGGAGAGAGAGGCGGCTCGACAGCCGGCGCCGATCCCCAAGCCGCTCGGCCGCTGCGTCGGTGCCGGTGCGGTCACAGAAGCCACAGAGGGCGTCGGCTCCGGGGCCGGGGGCGACGGACCTCCTGGCCCAAGCTGCCCAGGCTTCCGAGGAAGGCAAAGCTCAGGGAAGAGCGGTCTTCCAGAAGCTGTTGGATTTGGGCGATAGGTTGCTGTGAAGCACAGCACAGCCACACAGTAGCAGCTGGTGAGGCTGGAGGCTGCTGGTTAGGGTTTGGGTCCAGGGTTACTTGGAGGTTCATGGGACTTAGTAACTACAGTTATAAGTACCTTAGTTGGGCCTCAGTTGGGGATATAACTAGTTATAAGTATAGTTACCTTAATTATAACCGTAGTTAAGTCCCATGAACCTCTAAGTAAGCTTGCTTATAGGGTTTGGGGTTAAGGCTTAAGCTTGGTTAGGGTTTAGGGTTTAGGGTTGAGGGTTGAGGGTTCAGAGTTAAAGGTTTAGGGTTAAGGGTCACATGCTTACAGGGTCCAGAAGCCGTAAAACACAGCAGTCCTCCAGCCACACGGGCTTCAGAGAGTGTGGGCAGCGACCTAAAGCCACAACGGCTAACAGACCAGCCTGACCAGCCAAAGGCTTGACACAGAGACCGCTGCTGCAAAAAAAGACGTCTCCGGGCAGTTGTTCGGTGTTTAGGCGGTTTAGGGTTGTGCTTGTTGTAATTTTGTTGTTGTTTGCTTTCCGGTTCGTGTTTCAAACTGTCCCTCCCGGCGTCCGGCCGGACACGTTCCTGTCCGGCCGGACGTGTTTCCGGACCAACCCCCCTTCCGTTGAGGATCGTTTTCCACTCCCTTCCCTCCCTCCCGTGCCTCCCTCCCTGTCCCTCCCGTGTCCCTCCCGTGTCCCTCCCGGTCCCTCCCGTGTCCCTCCCGTGTCCCTCCCGTGTCCCTCCCGTGTCCCTCCCGTGTCCCTCCCATGTCCCTCCCGTGTCCCTCCCGTGTCCCTCCCGTGTCCCTCCCGTGTCCCTCCCGTGTCCCTCCCGCCACTGTCCCTCCACTGTCCCTCCACTGTCCCTCCACTGTCCCTCCACTGTCCCTCCACTGTCCCTCCACTGTCCCTCCACTGTCCCTCCACTGTCCCGCCACTGTCCCGCCACTGTCCCGCCACTGTCCCGCCACTGTCCCGCCACTGTCCCGCCACTGTCCCGCCACTGTCCCGCCACTGTCCCGCCACTGTCCCGCCACTGTCCCGCCACTGTCCCGCCACTGTCCCGCCACTGTCCCGCCACTGTCCCGCCCACACAAACACACACCCAATACACCCAACACGCCCAACACACCCAACACACCCAACACACCCAACACACACACACACCACACACCACCCCGCGCACACACACACGCCCAACACACCCAACACACCCAACACACCCAACACAACCACACACCACCCCACACACCCACACACACCACCCCACACACACCCACACACCTGACACCTCCACACACACCCCTACATACCCCGCACCACCACACCATGACACCACCGCACCACCACACCACCGCCACACACCACGACACACCCTTTGCACACCGCCACACACCTCCACACACACACACCACACACCACCACACACCACCACACACCGCCACCACACCACCACACACACACACACCCACACACCCACACACCACCACCACCACCGCCACCACCACCACCACCACCACCACCACCACCACCACCACCACCACCACCACCACCACCACCACCACCACCACCCACCACCCACCACCACACCACCACCACCACCACCACCACCACCCACCCACCACCCACCACCACCACCACCACCACCACCACCACCACCCACCACCACCACCACCACCACCACCACCCCACCACCACACCCACCACCACCAACCACCACACCACCAGCACCACAGCACCACCAGCACCACCCACCACCACCACCACCACCCACCAGCACCACCCAGCACCACCACCAGCCACCACCACCAGCACCACCACAGCACCACCACCAGCACCACCACCCCACCACCACCACCACCACCACACCACCACCACCACCACCAGCACCACCACCACCACCACCACCACCCACCACCACCAGCACCACCACCAGCACCACCACCAGCACCACCACCAGCACCACCACCAGCACCACCACCAGCACCACCACTAGCACCACCACCACCAGCACCACCACCACCACCACCACCACCACCACCACCACCACCACCACCACCAGTGCCTGCACCATCACCGTGGGAAAGCATTCCTCTCAAGGCAAGATATCTAACGAATTCATTTTTTTGGTTGGGCCTCCCCACCGTCATGGGCAAGCGTGGTCGTGAGGCAACACCGTCCCCTACGAGGGGCCCAGCCAGAATAGCACCTGCAAATGTGCCGGCAACCGGAACTGCAATGCCGGCAGAAGGAAGTGCTGCTGGCAATGACCGGTCCAGGAGCCCAGCTCCAAAAGCTGCGGCTGCAGCTGCAGTGGTCTGGAAATGGTGCTGGAAAGTAACAGATGGAATCTGGTGGTGGCAGTGGTGGAAGGAGTGATTCACCACCACTGCCAGCCGGTTCAAGAATTTGCGAGCAGTGTTTTTGCAGAGGCACAGGACTGCCGCCTTTGCAAGTTGCAAGTTGCATTTGCGGGCTTGCAGTTTCAAGGACTGCAAGTCAAGCCTCAAAATCATAGGTTCTCGACTTCTCGAAGCGTGCATGGACAGAGATTCCAGTCTTGTGCAAGCAAAAGAAACAAAGGCAGTGGACTAGCTTGGGATGTTTCCGGTTGCTGCAAGCTTCTCATATGCAGAGGTTGAGGTGAG